TGTGTGCCGCTCTTTACTGCAGTTCAGCAGTAACACCAAAGTTAGGGGCTACTCCCTGAAATCGGCGGAAGAATACAGCCCCTGGCGTGCCGTGGAAGGCTTTTTTCATTCGTTTGTGTCAACCATGGAATGTTCTTCCCAAAACTGTTGTTTCAGCACCCCCGCTAGCCATATTTAAAAGTCGGTGGGATGACGCACTCCTTCACTTACATTTTGATACTTGACGCTACTCTGTATCCTATTTCCACGAAATATCGTGGATTTCCTTATTTCGTGTATTGAAGCTGCGAAAACGCTCGAGGTGCATGGCTACTGAAACATAAAGATAACTCCATTATTTTAACAGTAATACTACCAACTGCTCTTTTCATAAAATGTTTCGCTAACCCAGTAGACCTACTAACGGGGCTTGTGAAGCAATGCTTCTTAACCCGCATAGAATCTGTGTTCATTGTTCATTTTCGATCGCTTGCAACTGATGAAACTATCTCATTGTATTGAGCCCTCCCTATTTTAGGTGAAAACTTTGGGTACTTATTTGTTTTATATGATCTTTAGATGCAATTTGAATCGCTAAACTATCATATATGCGCCATTTAGCCAACATTATATTGCATTACTCAAATTTAATTCCATTTCTGTTCGTTTTTCTTTTTAACATTCGTTGTTCACAATTCGAACAAACTCACGAAGTGACGGTTTGTAGTTTTCTAGCAACCTAATGCACCCACAAAAGGCGAATTTCCGCATACTCACCGGTGAACATGGAAGGTGATGGAGTGAGAACAGCTAACCTGTGGCATGGGTAGCATGGCGGGAGTGCATTTCATGTAACAGCGCCCTAAACATTAAATAGTTAACGTGACGGCGGCCTAATTGCATATAACAACATTCCAAAAAACAAGTTAAAATGATGTTGAATTATCATCACATGGTCAGCTGAGACGTATAAGTAGGGATGGAATCTACCGAAGGAGTACCCTGCACGGAACAGGTCCTCAGGAGACGGCACCACGGAAAGTCGAATCGATTTACTTGAACTGCCGGTTTCACCTACGTTTGTTCTTACTCAAACTCCACATCTTTTACTACTATTGGATGCTAGAACACGCCTAACACTCCACTGGTACCCTTGAAAATCTTGAACCGGTTTCTGCATCATCCGATTATGTTGTACAATACGATTAGTCCACGTAACCTATCCGTGCCTCCCAAAGTGAAGGAACACGCCGTTTAGTTATTTTTCGCGTCATAAGAAGAGTAGTTAGTCCGTTTAGTGTCCCATTGGCTGCTGCGAGTGATATTGCTTCCCATTTCACTGCGTCGTGTGTTGCTGATTAGTGACGGAGCCTTGGATGTTGTCCTCTGTTTATCGCTCCAAGATATCCTTGCTCCAACGGATTGGCTGAACTCTTTGTTGGTACTTTAAAATGTGAAATACTTCAGGTGCTCTAGCGACGTTTGATGAACTCGATCGATTCCTTAACAACTTCTCACTTCAGTATCATAACTTCATTTATTCTGTCACTGGGACGCAATTGCGTAGCACCAACGTTTGCCGCCTGTGTCGGCGGTAAAATGTTCGCCATGACTGAGGGAAGAATAGTCACGTGAAAGCTGCAAAATCGCCTCAGGGTAAAGTGCGCATTGGTTTTCGATGAAATGGATGATCGTTTGGAACAAGGAGATAAGTGTGTTGAAAGTGACTACAATAAGACAAGTAAGGGGATTTCTGAGATAAACGTTTGCACTGGTGTGACATATGGCGCATTGGTGTTTTTGGTCATACAGCGTAAGATTAGAAGCTTCAATTCTCAGCTCACCTGCAGATTTTGTCTCGTACATTTGCAATCGAACAATCGACGATAATAAAATTGTCGACTTCTCTCACATGCCGCCCGAGGTGAACGGACACCTCCCCACTATGCTACGCATCTGCTGGGGAGACGTCTGCAAAATTGTGCAAATACTAACCACTCCGTTCTAACATGCAGCCAAAGTATGCTATTACAGCGACAACGATTTCCGACTCAGTTCTGGAGCTGCCTTACTAATCTTAGAATATGTATGGTGCGGATATTGGTCACGGCTGATATGCAAATTTTTTTATGTGGACCATGCATCCTTGAAAGACCCAAGTAACCCAACATAACATTTCCACTGTTTCCGAGATCGATACCATTGTGGCTTTTACAGATACCATGCTAAATACTGGAGCTAAATGTTACTTCAGGAGATCGCAACTAATTCAAATAGCCTTCAGAAGAATTACCAAAATCCCGAGTTACATTCGCGCTGCGGTGGATGTAATGATATTAAACATTGTTCTATTTGACTTTCTTTAACTTGCATTCACTATGATATCAAACAATACAGACCGCGTGGCCTGAAATTACAATTCAGTTGTTTTCCCTCTATTTCGATGATAGCTTCGGTAGGATTTTCGCGTTAATCCGTACTTGATATGTGTTACCTTATTGCAAGTGTGGATATCTAATATATAATTGTAATGAACAAAATACATCTAAAATATGAAAGTTTGTCTAATGGAACGCGCTGATTACAAAATTGAGTGTTTCATTCTGATTGAACCATCCTATATTACAGTTTGCTTTGCGATGTTCGTACCGTCAATTTACTGTCGGATACCAGTGATATCTGTGAGTGCATCATTATAGTTAGCAGATATAAGACAAGCACTTATGATAAACAAATTGTCATTTAAAAATTATCGCTATTTGCCATCGGAATAAAGATAAGAGTTTATTAGCAATGTTTAAATGGTCACATATCGCCAAAAGAGCATTTCTTATGTGGCTCAGCATAAAATAAATCTTTATTTAATGCTTTAAACCCATCCTTGTTAATTTCATTCCTTATACTATCCGTTAACTATTATATATTTGATACTCTAACAACAATAAAAGATGCTAATCTCACCTAACCAATCTTATAGGGAACGTAAAACATTCGCTGTTTCGATACTTTGACCAAAACATCCATACTTTACAGTCTATTTCAACCACCAAATTGTTTTACAGATTTAACCCATCCTTGTTAACATTTTTCCTGTGCTTCGCGCATCGCGTTAATCAGGTGCGTTGTCGTTTAATTTTAACCCTTAACTTGCCTTACCTGCTAAGTAACAAGTCAATTGTTGTTATTACTGGATGTTGTTATGGTTTTGAGCTTGTCATATATACAGAAGTTGCTTGTATAAATAACGGTATCGCTTTATTATGAACCAAATAGTTTGGTTTGAACTATATAAAATGACAGTTAGGTTATACTAATCCATGTAATCAGAAAACAGTTATACTTGATAATGTTGTTCTAGTTTAACTTGCTTTACCTCAATTCTATATGGGTAAACGCTGGAGCCAAAGAATCTCAGTTCAGCTGATTTCAAATGCACCCGACATGTTCATTAGAGCCGGTGCTATTCTACGATCGCGGTTCGTGGGAACCTACTTCATTTTACATATTCACTTTGCAGTTGGTGCCACACTAAACTAAATTTTGCAAATTGCACACTGCGTGGAACTTGCACATTATTTTGTTAGTTTTCGTCCTTTTTATGATATCCTTCATGAACACAGGAGTACATACATTGTAAAAGCTGGTTCCTCCCTTTGAATAGCTTACTAGTTCTGTTCGCAAGCCAAACGGTAAGGGTTGACCAGTGAGCCTTTACATACTGTCTTATACATATTTATATTTATGATCATGATAACTGTCTTCAGACTAATATATTAAGCCTTGTGTGTCTGTATTGATGAACACAATCTTGCACGCAGTTACTAATATTTCCTTCGCAGTGAATATTTAATGCACGTCAGGATAAAAAGCAAGCGATTTATGCTTCGCAGGTTGAGACAATGGCCTCGAAAGTAACATTTTGCTGTGTTGCTGAATTCTACCGTATGTTACTACGCAAATAGAACCTGCGATACAGTATGGTTATATATAGTCTTTTGGGACAGTAGGTAAATTTGCATACATAATTAGATTAGCCAAAAATAACCACACAGCTAGCTTTCTGCACAGTTGTAATGCAGTCTCAACAATGTCCAACCCAACTTATATTGCTGGTTGACGAAGATAAACAAAATTCCAGGCTCCAGGCAACTTGCTGACGATGCAAGATATATCCAAGTATTTCCATGTTCGTTACTTATAATTTTGCAGTATGATCTTTCAGCTTTGTACAAATGCTAAATAAAATAACTTTTAAAGACCATTTAAATCTAGAACATAGTATCGTTTAACCGGATATTATTAGCGCAACTAAGCAAGCAAATCAGTATGCAGCTTAATAACTTTAACACTTTGATAATTTTTAGACTCTTTCCCCGCGGTTTAAACTGAAGGCAATATTGTTGAAACTTGAAAAATCATTAATGTGATCAGCCTTTTTTTGGGTGGTGACGCGGACTTAATCCCAACTGAGCTGAATGTATTCCAAGCTACTGTCAATTTTACTGTTTTACTAAACCATTTACACTGGCATTGCATCGTACTGACTTAAAAAAAGGACGGGTTAACCTAGTAACCACAAGATGGATCCAGCAAATAAAATTCATCTCTGGTTAACCGGTTCAATTCATAAAAATTGAACTTAAGTATCGTTTGTAACAGAAGTTAAAAAATAGTGAAACAGCACCATGAACTAATATCTTGAATATCTTCAAAACCTTATTATTAGGGCACAGTGATGAATTGCGTCTTGCAAAGTTATGAGTTGTTATTTCACACTAGGAGAAAATTAACGGAACTTTACATCAAAATTTATCTAGCAACAAAAGCAAAAGGATATATAATGCCTTCCGAAAACGCTAAAGTATTCCCCAGGGAATCAATTATGTGCACGCATTTCGCTATTGCTTGTCAGGTGTATTATCTAAAATTATGCTTTTCATACTGGTATATGCGATTTCAAATGCAAAGTTATAAACAAACATTCATGTAGAAATTGTCTATATGTGTTGAAGTGGACTCACCAATTTTAGTAGGCATTTCGCTTTGCAACATGCACCGCAAAGGCCAAACATGGACAGAACGGTGACACAGCATCCCACCGAGAAGACTACCAATCCAAGGGGTGCTGAGATTTTTGTGAAATTTTGGAATGGATTACTGAACCTCTTAATGCCATGTGTCACACAGTCTTATTGCTGATAAAGGAACAAATATCCTGTATAAAACATTTTGATGTATCACGCATGTCATTGCTCACGTCGCTGGTACACAGATTAGGATTAGCGTGATCACTGAATATAACACTAGTCTTTATAAAATAGCCGCCCGTTTCAAATCGCAACACAGCGCTTGTCAAGCAGAATATATTCCATTTTATTAACAGATAGGGAACACGATTATCATTGGAACGCCAAATCTACCATTGACTTTTAACGTTCCAAATATTGTTATCGTAACAACGAAACTAATGCACTAAAAGTATTCCGGTGCATTAAAATCCATCGTTATGATCGTGGCATTCCCTGGTCAATGCCATTCCACCATTGTGAGCGCATGCTAGCGAGTAAGTCAGAGTACCTTGGAAGCAAATCATGATACAAACGCACAGAGGAATGCTTAATGGTAGTTTTGCAGATTAGTGTATACCAGGGAAAAAACCTTCCATTTAAAATTTTAGTCATTTCGTGTGTCTCTGTCTGTAGCTTTGCGGATCATGAATGCACTAAACCACACCCATCAAACGTGCTCGCTTTAATTATCATATTTAGCTCCTTTGTGCTTCCTTATTAGGCTGTCAAATCACCAATGACCATACCAAATTTGCTCAAGGTTTTTCACCTCGCTAAGAGTTCATTTCATCCAAATCTCTTACCACAACTTGTTTCACGTCATTTTCAAAGGGGAACTTCATTCCCTTGATTGGGCTTCCCAAATTTCTGAGCGACGTGAGCAGATTAATCATGCTGGTAGTCCCATAATGATGCTGCTTGTCCGTCCCGGGCTCCGAACACACACCGATCTTTATTGTTGCACGCAAACATTTATAGTGTAATTGTATGCGCTTACGCTTTTTCCTCATCCGATCGCTCATCTCTGATTACACTGACAATGTTTGGTCTCCGTGAGTTTGCCAATAGCTTTATGCATGCCCTGCGTAGTCAGTTTGTCATCGTGATGACTGACCGATCATGCAAAGTTGGCACCACGATTACTCCCTCAACCCATGTGGTTGCATTACCTTGTTGTCAAGTCTGAGAGAGCATATTTCTAAAAGGATAGTTATTCAACTTTCCGCCGGTCGAAGGTTGGGTTAAATGTAGACATTAGGTTCCAAACTGTTCCTATCTCGAGATCATTGTCTACGCGTAATTCAGAGTTCAACGAACGAAGGTTACGCACATCGAAAATCGATAGCATTGAATTTGTAAGTATAGTAGCATTAAAAGTTTACTTTTATCTGAAGGAAAAATGCTAGTGCTGTAAGCCAGCTCAAGTTGAAATAATGCTCTTCTGTGGTTAAACATCATTGGCTCAACAAGCCTCATAAACACCATAAAAAGATGAATTAAGGATAGAAAAATGTTCACTTTTTGTAGGCATTTGCAGTTTCATTTTTCATAAAGCAAGAATTAACATGTCACTTCTGTACACCTAAAGGAGTGTAGGTGGAATACAATACAATTCGTTAAATTTGCTAGACTTTTATTGATGTTTACCAGTGTCGTAAACTAATATACCTAGACTCACTCCGTTTCATCGTGAAATGGAAGGCAGTTAATACAGATCGAACAACTGAGGAGAGGAGTAGACCTTACAGACTGAATGGCATATGTTGCGTTCTTCGAGGTCTCGACAAAGTCAGGCTGACGATGAATTACAAACGGGAAACCTATCTTAATTATCGAAAAATACCGGCTTTTATGTGGTCATTCAAGATTATGCATCGTATGCCATGTATACTATACATAAACACATCTTAAGTTTCCTGCGTGTGTGAGATCGGGTAAATAAATATAAAAATCAAATTCGTTGGCCAGTGTGCACGTGTTTCGCTAAGCGCCTACCAAACAGTTCGTTCGCGCAATTTTCTGTTTCACAGATTTATAATGTCACACATGGGTTATTTATTTATTGTTCGTTAGCTTTGATTAGAAAGTTGAAAATTTTTTAATTACTCTGTTGACTTTTCAAACAATACAAGAATCGTACTCAAACTCTTGTAATATACTTGGAATCTATCTTGAAATCATGATTTCTGAGAGAGTTGTGAACGAGCTGTTAGTTTCTTTGATTGGTAACGTTTCGCTTTGGACACAATAGGTTCTTCAGACTAGGTGAATTTGTACATAGTTAGTGCGGCGTTTTATAGCGGATGAGAGAGGTAATCGTTACAAGGGAGACAATTGTATTTTCAGTAATTTATTAACTTTATTCATGCAATTACCTAGTTGAGAGCCTACGTGCCGTCGTTTTATCCGAAACTAATGTGACAGGTATTGAGTTTGCGCAGTGGTACGAATCATATTACAATATGGTAGCTGGTAACCAATTGTTGTTGTAACGTAAATCGTTTCGGGATTACCGATAAACATAAGGTTCTAATTGACCAACCAGGAGAGACTATTAATTGGAAAAACTTTTCTTCTAGTCCCCCTTTAAGCTGGCCACGTGCAATCGCCTCAGCGCATATAGCTCCCGTTAATTTCATTCTTAGCACAGCCGAAATATCCTGTCTTTGTTGCTTTCGAGGTACCTCAACCAAAGCTATCCCTGTGTATAATTGATGTATTTCAACCCGTTATGTATTGCATGTACTTCAACACGCTTCCCTTGCCAAACAGAAGCTATCTTCATCATTCGTGGCTAGCAAACTGAACCGGCCGCTTTTTGAACAATCACTAGCTTCTCGATTGGTAAAATTTCTAAGTCACTGTGTAATATTTTATACGCAAACTGTTTTGTGTAAAAACATATTGAAGACCTACCGGTACTCTGTCATGTAAGTTTTATAGCAGATAAATCTGGGTCAACAAATAAAACGGTTTAAGATAAAGAAACCACCGCAATCTTAATATTCTGTGCAAAATGGCCGGAAGAGACATGCCGCTGAAATGTTTCATCGTTTCCAAATTGATTGTGAACATACAAAACTGATGCGGTGCATACTGGTAATCAACTTACATGTTGTTATCATTATACGGCTTATTAACTGAGAAATCTGCCCAGCATCGTCCCCCTTTGCGATGGTTTGTAGAAACGGAGTAAGTAGGTTGCGGAGCATGTGATGTATCATCCCTGGACTCCATGTCATAAGTGCACCCAGGATGACTACGGCAATCCCAATGATCTTTAAGTATAGCAAAAGGATGAGACTTAAATCATAATGGTCACATACGAGCAATAATGGGTAGGATGTGCAGCATTTCTACAAAGTATTAAACAACAGAATTTACGTAAATATAAATGTGCTAGCAATTTGTGATGCAATTCCCATCAATACGGTCACCAGGTCATTTCATGGCGGGAAGAAAGCAATGTTTAAAAACCTGTTTCATACATAAGGTTAAAAACATAACTTGCCCCATTTCTACAACAATGGAACGTTGTATTAGCAGTGACGTTAGCTGTTACTTGCTTTAAACAAGCAAGCCGCTAACTTTCATACTCACTTGACGTGCCAAGTTGATTTGGCAAGTTACTGCGGAAATCAATTACCTGTGCGAAACCGTGGCGTTTCAACAACAGCCTTCCGTAGCTTTAGGATTAACTCATACACGCCTTAGCTAACTGAACTACGATGACTATGGCCCATTACATTTATACCCGTATTGTTCTACTGCGGTAAAACCATTTGTAGTTGAATTACTTAACACGTTCCAGAGCTTGGGGTTTCGAGCAATAAATTCAGTAGACTATCAAATGGATGACCGAAAAAGCAAGCACATTCACTTCTCATCTAAGTCACGTCTTCTATTTTCAGACGCATAACCTTAGTTGCCCAGATTGCTTGGGCAAGCGTTAAATCTTCGGGGGGGGGAAGGCGAACGCATATTTTGACGAGTAATGGCCCTCGAAATTCGACACAAGAAAATGTTACTACCAAGGGAAATGTTAAAGAACAAGAGCATTTCCTTGGTATTGTGTTTGTTCTGCCTAAAGTAAGTGCAAATCGTGACACCATAGTGGCATTGATGTATAGCGTACACGCTTGCAAAATCGCAGTTGACACGTGTCGAACTCGTGTACGACCCGGTAGCTCATAACTGTATTTGGGGATATAGCTGCATACCAGAGTATAAGCCAGTGTACGTAGTAGGGGAACATATTCATATAATCGTTTAAAGTCTTTTTCCATAACGGTGTTTTCAACGGAACCTCTGACCGACCCTGCTCGAATTTCCACGGATAGGAGACAAACAATGGGAGCTGCCTTTTATCAGTGTTGTCCAATTAACACACTTTTGGCTCTCAGCCTGCAAACGAGAACGTTCTCCTACGTCTTGTATTTCCGGGTAGCTCGGAATGGTTCAGTAGATTATTACAGTTGAATTGGATAATCACAACTGGTTTCCTTGTGAGCAACATAGTAAACTTTGGGATCAAACGCAGGCCTAATTGATGCTTTGCATACTAATTTTGCCATTGGCTGGCTCGTAATCCCCAAAACGGTATCGGTTATCAGTGTGTTAGTTAGAACGTAACAACACATGAATGATGTGGATTAAAAATGCAAGTTGTTGAGCTGAGCAAATATCCAGTTGCTGACCTATGCACATTCAGCACGGCAATGAGCATCGTGTGCTAATAAATCACATCTAAACTAGTATGGCAGTGTCATGTGATCATGGGAAAAATCCTGGTAACCTAAATGCGTGATGTTGTGTGTATGACAAATGATATGATAATGTAAATATGGTTATTCATTAGTTGAAATCGGGTCGGTCCAACATACTTGTGTAATAAATCTTGCATTCTTGTCGTTTTCACAATGAGACGTGTTGGCAGCCGACAAAAAATATGAATGCTATGTATAGCTACTATTTTATTATATAGTTAGCTCCTCTAATTCTGCTTTTGTAAATCAGCCGTATTCATGTTCACAACCATTTTACTCATATATCTTTACTTGTCACGGCGCATTAATGAACATGGCCAGCAAACCGATAGTTTTACTAGTATAATGGTAGCTCAGGTTATTATGATCAAACGCTAAAAAGCGATAACACAAATATACTTCTGTAAACCAAAACTTAACTTGCAGTTCCATGAGTAAACTGTTGTTTAAGCAAAATTCTAGTGACTACATTTTACATATGAGAATCAGAGTTCGACAGTTTGACAAATAACCGATCTTTCCAGTGCATATATTTTTCTTGCAGGCTTTACATGCTTATGTATGTAGACAGTGAACCCTTAGGAATTATATGTATATTTTTGCAGTTAGAAAGTTCCCAAGTGGCGTCACATGTTACTTAATCAGCATTTGTGTTCGGTGTTTTTATGCAAGCAAGTGTAACTTCCTGCATTCTGATGGTAAAATACCGTGCCTTGGATAAAATTTCCACAATTTCAGGGTCTCAAATTAGCATGAATGCCACCTTGTTCTAAAGGTACTCCTTTAATGTAACTCTAACTAGTAGCTTTTTATGGGTACATTACTCAGTAACAAAATATGAGTCCTCCTGCTGTGTAGTCTCATTAACATGGTTATAGAAGAACACCTGAGTATGTTGGAAGCTTTCCACTTACAAGTGTAGCAGCATTCAAAATCGCGAGAATGCAGCGGCATGGTGTGTTGCAGGCCATATTTTGACGTCCTTATCTGTGTAAAGCAAAACAATAGTTATTCTAGCAATATATATAATGAATATGAGTAATAGAGTTAGCTCTTTACATTAGTTACAGATGGCTGTAATAGCGAATTGTCTGCTAAAATTTGTCGACCAAAATGGAATAAGCGATACAGTAGTCGTGGCGTTCACACCAGGTATTCATACATTAAATATTATATGAAACAGGCCAAAACGTGATCGATCATACACAAGGTGGAGCGCGTTCATCGCAATATCTCCTTTTTCTTTAGTCGTAATCGTAATTGTGCAGAAACGAGCTTGGAACATCGCTTGGTTTCTGCTAATTCTATTTATATATGTGTGTTAGTAGTTTCTGACTTGAGAAGTCGAACGAAAGTGAAGTGTATTATTTGTTATCATTTCAATATTTTTACGGAGAAATCTATGTGCATGTATTAGTAAATGCAACAACAAGAGTTTAGGAATGAAGAAAACCTAGGCGTTCTAAACTAATTTTGGATAAAACCGCTTTCCTTATGAACTGAACGGTTAGCAAATCAAGGTTATTCTGAAGAACGGATACGACCGTCAACAAAACTTACGCATAGAGTAAGTACACCAACCTTACACGAAAATGCTGCTATTTTTCCAAAAAGCACACTGCAAATATTTTACTATCACAAACGTGCAAATATTATTACCCGCAGTCTTCAACTGACTAATATATTCTGGTGTGAGTGCGTTCATTAGAACGTTGGACACAAATATGAACTTCCGAGAACTTGCTCCAAACTGTCTTAGAGGAATGCATGTCAAGTTTACCAAAGCCCAATATGCAAAAATAGCACTGCTGAACCTTGTTCTCAGATTATTGCATTCCTGACAGCGAAGAGAGAATGCCTGATATCTGGTAAGCTTGATATCTGGCATTCTTAAGATTTGGTATTCTAATTATTTATTTCTGCTCTGTAATTAATCAATACGCTCACCTATATTCTGAAAATCTTTCAAGAGCGTGAGGTTGGTGTACTTGTACAGGAGGATCTCGGATACCTGAAACTATGAAAATCGTCAAGATCTAAGTATCAACACTTTGAGATTTTTCGCAGAACGTTGTTTTGGTGTGACCCCACAATATTCTCGCAAAGGATCAACGCATATGTGCGGCAGCACGTGGAATCCGCCATCCAGACGTGGCATTCGTGGCAGAAACAGGATATTGTTGCTCTCGAGACTCCTTAACGGAAAGCCACAAAGAACCTCAAGAGTTTCTTCTATTTGCCATACCAACTTAGATCAAAACCTCAAGGCACTCGATATCGAAGCTTGCGCGGACATCATATTGCTTTACCTAATACTAAAAACCTAAACAATAAGTGTCGCCCGCCGCTGGAGCTGAACCACGACGCCAACGTAAGAGGCCAAACTTTGCTATGGATAATACAGTTTGCCCGGATGGAATGTCCTAAAAATGGCTCCTCCCTTCAAGTGTATCAGCCATGTAATATTCTCACAACTAATGTCATCACTGCTCCCAAAACAACAATAATTATAAAACGTTCTGACAAGATGCTGTGTCATTAGCATTTCACTTTCTATCTATCCAGGTGGGTACAGAAATCCACCAAGCAGCGTGTTTCCAAATTGCCAACCAATGAATTTATCCGTTTATCAGGAGAACACCTCGGCTTTTCTACGCATTTTTATGGTGAGTTCAACAAGGCAGTTTTCATTTTACCGTACATTTTCAGGTTCTGAATTTCCACAACACAGGACTTGTTAACCATTGCTATTTACTCGTAGTATGCCATGGTTCCTTTGTCCAATCATCCGTTTTAATCAGCTGGATCTTTTTAACAGTTGTCAGTGGTAACAAGCCTATTTGTGTGTCGTGGCAGAAAAAGTGTTGATAATCTGTGTGTAAGAAAGCAAATTGTTTCTCCAAGTTTTATTATAATTCGGTCACATATTTTATGTCCATTTTAGAAGCAAACGCCAGAACTATTTAACAGTATTACACTGGATCTTGCTTTACCCATACATTATGATCATCATTTGATTTCAAATGTGATTTTGAAATGTTAATGTGCACACTTTGGTTGCTGTTCAACAGTTCAACAACGAAAGTTGACTGTTCTACAACTTGTGTGGATGAAAACTAAGGTTAGTTTGCACAACCATTGGCCACGTTTTCATATATTTTTACAACTCTGCGTAATGACCCAATTAGTCACATAGTTGGTATCCACCCAGTGGGCAACTGAGCATAAAAATAAAGAATACAGCAACACTTATGTACCCAAATACTAAAGTATCCACCTGTATAGAAAACGCTTTTACTAATCCATGAATCGATTAGCTACCTGCTTATGCTCTTATCGTTGTCTGAAATCAATCCTTCATGCCCTTATTATTTAGGCAATTTTGCAGCCCGCATCATTTAACATAAAAACGGCACATCGCACACGTGTTGGAAAAATGTAACCGGAAATTCAGGAAATGTTTTGTAGCTTGGTTAACCTTCTAAGCTTCCGCACACTTATCTAAACCCGTTCATGTGGTTTTTCGTTTTTCTAAACTAATTCGCAAATTTACTTAACTGTGCACACACATTCAGTCATCAACCAGTGATGCATTGCATATAGTTTTAATTGCTTGCACATGTATTTCTGATTTTTTATTGCATGTTGGCTGTACACACGGACGCCGCAGAATTTTAGGTACCGTGTTCTGGTTTGGAATTTTGCCTCCGGATTACTGCATTATAAGTGTATTCAGTGTGCATGTTGCACTAATATTCTTATTTTAGTGTATTTTCCCAGCAGTGCTAAGTTAGTGGATATTCTCTGGTTACTTTCGGAGATCTCAGTGACTGACCCAACTGTTGTCTGTGTTCGCCATCTTGGATTTGATTGTGGCCTTGTCAACTGCTGAAACAGCATACTCTTGGGACCGACGCGCAGCCAAATCAACTCAATCTATCCCTCACTTAAACTTACAATTTCAACATTCGCCTGACCGATGCATACTGCTACAGAAGTTGCAAAAGCTATCAGTCCGCACACTGGCTCAGGTAACGACACCAGGCCGAATGGCAAACATCGAGTAAATGCACTTACAAAGAGCTCCAAGTTAAGGTTGTTTGAAAGTTAGGATAATGTAATCGATTAGTTAACCTTGCTTTACTTTGCTCTCATGGTTTGCTAGTGTTACCATCAGAAATGTGCTAGCTCATCGCAACAAGCCGTGCGTGAGGTGAATAGCTCCAAAAATGTATTTTGCTTATGTACTACCTGGTCGACTATCTCAGTTGTCAAGTGTATGCTTGTCCTAGTCCATTAATACAAACAGTTGGTAGCAGAAGTCGAGCTGCAAAGGAGCACTAAGATTAACTCATTGGAAGAAAATCTGAGCCAGTTAAACCTAAGGACATTTAATCAAAGGAATGATGCACTGCTTGTAGCCTTTGAACTAGGCTCAACCAGGTTCCGATCGCCGTTGTCTTCCTCATCTTTGCCAGAACAACAGGCGACAATTAACCGTAACTCCGAGAGGCAAGCATTGCGTGTTGCAACTAAAATCAGGCCCCAATCGAAAAGCGTTAAATAAGCAAGTCTAAGCAATCATGATGACACCTGGTTGTAAAAAGAAAAAAGCAGCCAAACAGCGACCTCAGCATCTGCAATTCAGGGGTCGCTTATCGAGCTAAACTCCCCTAGAAGATCAGTCACATATGTGGCGATTGCTGAAAAGTTAACCCAACTTGCCACCATTTCAGTCCCCTCTGTTACAAACACCAATAACTGGAAAATAGGGAAAAACACTAAGCAATCGTTATTTGGTAGCAAGTCAGGACAAACGATTCCTCAATCTTAGAGTTCGAAGAATAAGGGATCTAACATTAGTGCCATGACTGTTGTGTGCTCGAAGTACCCGAATCAATAGCTATCACATTGCAAAGTAAATTGTCCGAGGACCTGCACCAATAGGAGTCACTATGCTTTCTGATGAAAGTAAAAGCCAAACCCACAAACTTAATAATAATTACTTGGCACCCGAAGTCTTCAGACTTTGGCGAGTCCAGACACATTAGAGTAACACTAGAATCCTCAACTGATGTTAAAACCGTTCTGCTCTCCACAAAGGCGCTGCAACATGGATCATGTGGGATACGTATCTATCCTGATGTTCCGTGGAGCATGCGACAGTCGAAAACAAACTATAAAGAAGTACACAGCAAGCTTGACCGTGCAAACACTATGTTCATCCATGGTGTGCCAGAGCTTTTTTCACGCGCTAGTCAAGAGGCCAGAAAACACGAGTTAGAAGAATGGCAATTCATCTGCGAAAACTTTTCCTTGGATAAATTTGTGGCGCGATTTCTCAGAAGGTTACCTTTCTCGCTAAACTATAGAAGATGCGGCGCAATCATCATAGAACTCATATTTTCATCCGAGCAAGTAGCGATGAATGTGTTACATAGTTGGGGCAAAAATCCAAAACGATTTCCATTAAAACTTTGGTTAAGGACTGCAGATGTATCGCAACGTCTAGTTAGGAGTTTATCTGAAAAACAGATATGTCGACGATGTTTTCTCTTTTACCCTCTACTGACCTACAGCTAGAAGAGGGTAGTGGTGTGCCATAGTTAAAGCAAAGTACGGAAGTATTATCAGTATTTCATAGAAATATGATTGATTATCTACGTACTTTTGTTGGCCTCCCACACCTATTAGTTTCTTGACTACTGTGGTCTATCAGAAACGGATAAACTAGCCTGCCTGTAAACGAGTGCTCGGGACCCCTACAGCAAGCTGATAAAAGTGAAAGATCGCCAATTTTCTAAGAAATATAACGTCATTGCCATCACAGAGACGTGTTTACACACCGAAATGAGGGGCGTTGAAATTTCATCACGAAATGTCACACATTCGGAACTACAAAGTGAAAAAAGGATGAGGCGTAATTCTGTAAAACCTAAGCGACTTGCACTGCGAATTAATATGTGATTCA